CTGCCACCAGACAACCCCGCTGCTAACAGGCCACGTGCAAAGACACCACACAGCCCAGCTAGCACGGTGCTCTCTTAAAAATGAGGACAGGAAGAACACTTTTATTTGGAAGCATGCTTTCTGTTTTCAGATTATTCAGGAAAATCATAAGCATGGTCAAAAATATCAACTGCAGCTCTAAAAGAAACGCTACATGTTATGGAATCTGAGAAAATTGCATGGGTCTACTTCCAGATACCAACATAGAGGACATTTTCAATAGACTTTTATTTCTGACCAAGTCTGCTCTTCTTGAAGGAAATGGCCAAGCGAATAAAGCTTAACTGAAAGCCCAATCTACACACACCCCCCACCCCCACTCCCCAAAGTCTCAAAGAATTTTACAGGACCATGAATTGGGTCTGTTTTGTGTCATCTTCTGAGATGTGTCTATGCAATATACTGTTGAAGTTCTTGCGCAAAGTTTAGCCTAGTGTTGGATATGACTCCTTACCAGGCTCAAATTCTGCTCTTTTAAAAAAATCATTCACTTTATTTGAGGACAAAACAACACTGCTAATGCTCCCTTTTAGTTACCTCATGTAGGCCGTGCACCCAGTCAGCACTACTGCTAAGGAAGAGTTTCAAAACTGTGGCTGCTGCCAGATGAATTGAGCAGACCAGGTGAATTCAAGGAGATAAAAGATTGGTTTCAACCCCTCAATCACTTCTACAATCCTACACACCTCAACACAGGTTATCGAGCCAGATCAGTGAGGACAGGAGCAAGTTAAAGAGTGGCATTACCAAATACAGACCTCAGCAAACAAAAAATCAACCTCACTGTGTTGGTACATGGGATTTACATACTATGTGTGTTCTAGATGGGCATCAGACCTTCCTTCTCATGTATTTAAGAACCTGTTCTTCCTCCATAAGGTGCCACAGCACCATGCTTTTATTTGAAATAAAATCTAGAACAGATTAAATATAAAAGGGGAAAAAAGTGCTCTTCCCTTAAAAAAAGCTGTTTTCAGCTTTTTTTTTTTTTTTTTTTCCTTTTTTCTTCTTTTCATAAATGATGGGCAGTGATGATGATGGGAATACAAGAGCAGAAAATGGACATCCACAGCTAAAGCTTTGTCATCTACTGACCTGCCGCATGAAGGCAACCCTCTAGCAGACAGACAGTGGTGAAACGTCATCAGCTATTCATCAGGATAAGGCTTATATAAAGAAGCAGCATGTAATGGTGCCCAGCAGGTATCCTGGTGAATACATTTCAGGAGCCCTTGCACATGGCATTCCGCCAGTAAAAGCCAAGAGATGCCTAGACAAATTCCCCTGGGTCTCTTTGGGGAGGCCGAAACTGAATTTGTCGGCCAGAATTTTAGTCATCCACTCAACAGCTATACTCCAGAAGCACAAGATGAATAGGCAGCTATGGTGAACTTTGAAGCCTGTAGGTCAAAGTTCTCTCTCATTATCCCCACCATTTTCTATCAGCATAGCTCCTCAGCATCCCAAGGGACGGGAAGGTTTGAGGCTCTTGAAAAAAACTGACATGACCAAGTCAGAAACCAGTAGGGTGCTTATGTACATATATTTTTCTTTCCCCCACTTCCTTGAAAAGAAAGAATATGAATTTAGCTATTGTGTCAAGCGTCAGCCTGGTGGCATTAGTAGTTACTCATCTAGCTGGCACAATATACAGCAGTCATTTCAACATGCTGCCCTGCCAAACAGGCCTGATCCTTCCAGGGACATATCCTCTCTAAGAAAGGTACTAATTTTTCACTTCCCACCTCAAAACCTTTCATTTTGTAGCCAGTCCTTTCAAGGAGGATGACAGCACAGATTTCTGCAATACGGACACATCTCTGTATTAAGAACACTGTCCTCCTAACTGATCGCCACTGAATGCATCTGATAGAGACAACTGATCTGCTTCTGGCCAGATCTCAAGGAGAATTTAATACAGTGTTCACTACCAGCCGTTACTATTAGAATAGGTTCTTCCAATGCAGGTGTTATGTTCTGACTCAACCAGTCTGGAAGGACAAAATTATCTTCTAAATTTACTTATTCTGTCACCACTAGAGGCCAGCCCATCTTTTGCTTCAGAGAATTACATCTGCAAAATTTTGTATAACCAAAATGACCTGCATACTTGAGATAATCCAAATCTAACAGCTCAGATTAGAGCCAGGCTTTTTATGAGTTCAGGAAAATGACTTCAAATGGTTAATAAAAGTTCTTTTCTTTGATGCTATTTAATGGCAAGGTTGGTAGGAATAAGGTCCTTTTTTTTTTCAGAACAATGTAAGAAATTATCCCAAACAGTAATTCAAGCACAGTATTAAATTTTATCAGTTCCTTTGGCTTTCAATGAAAAAAGAAACAAGCAGATAAACAAAAACTAGCAAAACCAAATCAGAAACACATAATTAGAGTCCTGCTTGGGGAAAAACCCATTCACTTGGCAATACCCAAATGAAATTTTGGCTTTCCTGCCTACAAAGTTTTGTACAAACTGTGCTGGGAGTGCAACTGACTTCAAGTACCTGGTCCTGCCTCTTCCCTGCACTGTGGTTTGCAGAGGGCAAAGAAGATTCTACTCACACACTACTGCCAGATGGACAATGAATGCTCTGCAGGGTATTTTAACAATAGTTTACTGACAATAAATAGTCTATTGACAGTATAGAAACATACTGCAGAAGTAGTGCAGTGACTCTTTGAAGGCTAAAGACAATAGAAATAAGGCATTAAACCAGCATCATTTGTAGTACAAATCATGTCACAGAGAAATTATAACACGAATGAGCAGAACCCTAGACACTCCTAGAGAGCAGATTCAGTAAAAGTGTCTCAAGAATTCTCTGAACGAGTACAATGTTTTCCCCAGTAGCTTCCTGTCAGCTAGGAGCTGAGCATGGTCCCTCACCACTACCTACCCACACACAGCCAAGGGAAAAGCAGCATGTTGCAAACCTCTCCGGTCTGTGCAAGGAGGTCTGAGCAAATGGAAATACGGAGCCCGTGTACCTTTTTCTTGGGGTGGGAGGGCATGGAGGAGGAGAGAGGGAATCAATTAAAGGCTAGCAATTACTTCTTCTTTAAATGGATTTTCTCTAATCTCCAATGGATTTACCTCTAATCTCAAAGTAATTACCTCTAATCTCAATGGATTCTCACTCTGGGGGAGACTAAGCAGCTCCAGGGAAGCCTACAGAGAAGAAGTATGCTATTGTCTACAAGAAGCAATGAAAAACTAACACGTGCACAGCAACCGCCAGGAACAATAAAGCACTTCCACAAAGCGAGGAAAGGACTTGGACAGACAATGGCAGCTTGCCTCCTCCTTGCTTGATGACCCAGAGTTGGCCAACACAATCTAAGGGAAACTCATGTGGGAGCTCTATGGGAGCTGCTTCAAAGGCACACAGTGTCTGTGCCTCCCTTCTGTGAGCAACACCAGTAAACAATGCAGGTATTTTGGGACTACTTCATGGCAGAATTCCCCAAATTTAAAGGCACTAAGAGTAACCAAAGAGGACACAGACAGACTTTTACAGTTTCACAAAAAGGAACAGTGAAAAAAAACCCTGCTTCAGAACACAAGGGCCAAGAGACAAGACTTCTGATGGAAAGCAGAAATGCCTTGAAACTAGTTGTTATCTGACTTAAATAATTTTGAAAAGACATGGGCATACCATCAGAAACTATAGCAAACCATTATTATGGCAGGATCTGACACTATGAAATCTGGCGTCAAGCCAGAGAAAGTGCTAATATTCAGCAGACAGGGAACAGGGCAGATGGGGTGGGCTAGTTCTGAGCTAGATCACTGTGCTCTTTCCACCCCCAAAACCGTACCTAGGAATTGCGCTACACACACTGAGAGGGACAGACAGGATGCTTGGGCAGAGACAATGACAGATGCCTTAACAGAGAAATATTTTATGGCACTGTACTGGGTCTGGCTGAACTGGAATTGGTTTTCCCCTACAGCAGCCCTCATGGTGCTGTGTTTTATGTCGGGAGCTGGCAGGGTGTTGATAGCACCCTGGTGTTGTGGCTACTGCTGAGCAGTGCTTACACAGCACCAAGGCTCTTTCTGATATTTCCCCCAGTGGGACGGGGTGGGCAAGATCTTGGGAGGGGACACAGCCAGGACAGCTGACCCAAACTGACCAAAGGGATATTCCAGACCATATGACGTTTGCTCAGTATAAAGCTGGGAGAAAGGAGGAAGGGGGTGGGGTCACCCTTGGTCCTCCGAGGCAACCACTACGCGTATTGGAGCCCTGCTTCCTGAGAAGGCCTGACATCGCCTGTCCATGGGAAGTAGAGACTAAATCTGTTTGCTTTTGCTTCCGCGCGCGGACTTTTGCTTTGCCTTGCTTATATTAAAACTGCTTTTGTTTCACCCACAAGGGTTAGTTTATCTTCTTTCCGCTCTTTACCCTATTGACAAAACAAGGGGAAAAGGTGGGGGGGGGAAGTGATAGAGCGACTTGGTGGATACCTGGCATTTAGCCAGAGTCAAACCATCACAGGCACATATTTTAATAGCTATGCCATTTTCAAAAGGCTACTCAGAATTACTTCTGAATAAACCATAACCACTGCACACTGACAAATACCAGAAACTTTCCTCACTCTTTACTACATCTAGGACACGTTTTCTTATGAAATGCTTCTGGTTTTTAATCCTGGGATTGACTACAAGTCCATAAAAGCATCAGCACAAAATAAAGGCTTAAACTGTTTCAGCTGCCTCTCGGGATGCATGGGAACCCCAGTCCCAGGGCACTGAAGGGAATTTGACCATACTCAGACTTGCACCAGGTAATTTTATTTCAGGTTATTCCTTTTTGAGAGGGAGAGGAATGAAGAGAAAAAGAAGTTCCTCCACCAAAGAGGGCTCAACAAAAAAAACCATCAGGATGAACTCACTAATGCTGTTGTATCAGGGCCTGATGTTGCTGAATGTTCAGAGAGTGCTGTGTACTTACATGTAAACTAGGATGGTAGGTCAGCACACCGTTGTCGCACAATGTCACGTATTTCTTCTTCCACTCTTTATTCAATGACTTGCCACTTCGCTTTAGCAGCATACCCTATTAGAGGAAAAAAGAAAAAAGATTAAACACTCTTTTGCCAACACAAAACTATTTAAGAGACAGATATAATTGCAAACATTTTTAGATATCCTTTTCTCCTTGTTTTCTCCTGCTTCTCCCACGATGCATATTTTCTCCATTGGCAGCTTCAGGCGTTTGCAATTTAGGAGGAAAAGCCCTAAGTGGGCTTTCAAAAAGCAAGTCATGTAAACAGAAAAGGCTGTAGCAGTGCTGGCTTTGTCCAACGGGTAGAGAAAACCCTTTTGCACTGAATTCCATGCCTCAGAAAAGCACATTTTAATCTGACACGGAGTAAGGTTACCTAGTTGATAAAGACACCACACTCAGTGCATTTCCTAGCCCTCTAAAACAAATTATGAACCCCAGGTTGAGTGAGGATCCTACTGTGTGGTTTGTGCTCGCTTCAGCATGTTCTTGAGGATTCCCTGTTGTCCAGGCTCAGCCTCCCCACAAGCAGGGAAGAGCACACATTTATGTTCTCATTCCCTTTGCAGTAAGGCGACACTGCAATGGAAATCCTCCTAGCCACTCAGTCAGCAAAAGAGACACCAGTTCCAGGCAAGTGCAGCAAAATGAAAACAGAGTAAATACAAATTCTGGATAATTTAATGAGAGAGGTGTGATCAGAGAGGAAAAGAGGTGGGCAAGGTGACTCACCTTTCCACAAATCATATTCAACCTAAACATCAGTGATGAACGCAAACAATCAACAGTTGAGATAAAAAGTCATCATTGCGTTCAAATGGACAAGGACTACTACTGCATGTTAACCTGTTCTCAGCCTAAAAAAAAGAGAAGTAACTTAGAAAAGCAAAATACAAAATGCTGTAGCACACTGAAGGTGGTAAATCAAACCATGCTCTATCAATGCACTTCCCTAGGAAATTTTAACTTCCAAAACCAAGTCAGAAGGCAGTTCCTTATGAATTCATATAGTACTTTGGTTATTGAAAGTCTTACAGAAATGTCCCAGTGGAGATGCTACATACAGTACCTACCACAGGGACTGACTCTTATCAGAACTTGATCTGTGAAACAAGTGGACGCTTATATTCATTTAATTAAATCATATTCAGAAATCAAAACCAATACAAATTTCAGTTTCTAATCCCTATAAAATGAGTTTTTCCATTATAATTTTCCATAGGATTTTAAAAAAGTGGGAAAACAGAACATAGAAAGATGAACTATCAAGCATGGTGCTTCCAACTCCCATGGAGTTGTTTTTGTTGAATCAAGTTAAAACCCTGAAAGCAAGTTATGCTGTTTTCCCATTAAACCTGGAGCTTTATAAAGTGATCCCTCTGCAGACCCAGTCCCAAAGCCACGAGGGGACAAGGGGCAGTTCTGTATAGGTAGAAGTCCTCCAGAGCTAGGCTAATTCCAGGTGTCATAACTTTCAGCCAAAGTCCCTTGCCACAATCCATATGAACTCACAACTCTCATTTTGCAACCACAGAGGTGATCCCAGCAGAAAAGCCAAGTTCACAACTGCCTGTTCCTGGACACACACTTTGGATAAAAACTTCAGAGAACAACGCTTCACAATTCAAAGCAATCTGTGGATAGGACCGTAAAGAAAAGCTTGTGTCGGATGACTGAATTACACAGCGGTAGAAACTCCGAACTTTCTGACCGTCTGGGGGTCAAACTTCTTTTTTTTGTGCTGTTCCTTGCTACAACTCAAACTTTTACAAGAGAGAATGGGGTTTCTCAAACGCTTTCTTACAAAAGCTTCCGTGAGTGCGAGTCACACATCCCAATTACCGTCTTCCAGTGGTTAGAGACACTGTTTTCTTCTATTAAAAGAATGAAAGCTTATTTCTGCCTTTGACTTGTATGTTTGTCTATAGTAGGTGATCTGTCGCTTCACCTTTCCAATCTTTCATACCTCACCTGCAGCATGTTCGTTTGCGTTTAGGGGGACCCAATTCTAGTTATCGCTGTGCTGTGGGGATCAAAATTGCTGTTTCCCTGCACTGGTTTATTCTTCAGACCTTTTAATGGGGAAAAAGCTGTAAGGATCAGAACGGTGATTTTTTTTTTTCCCCCCTTCCCTTTTTTGAAGTTTTGAAGAAAGCAAAATATATATATACTTCACACCTTTTTAACTGTCCCTTTGCTATACAGAAAATGTGTCATTACTTATGTAATTTTCAATTCATGCCAATTTAAAACTCAATAAATAGTAAAAAGCTACCACTTTTGTGATTTTTATGACACAGAAGTTTTGTGTCTAGGTGTGAATTATGAAATTTATTTTTGGATCTCAATGAAGAAAATTATTCAAAATGAGGTTCCACCTTGCTTTTAAAGTAGGATTCCATGCTTTCATGTAAAAAAAACCCACAGACCACCTCAGCATCAAATATGGACGGTGTAGCTATTTGTGCCTAACAAACCATACTTCCCAATCCACTTTCTTTAGGCACTACCTTGGCAGAAAGAATAGATTTTTGTATTATGTGAGAATTAAAAATATCATTCAGTACCTGCAGAGGAAACTGCTCGGAATAGAAGGAGCTAAGTTAAAGTGTTATGAAGCAGAGAAGCTCACATAAACCATATTTTTTTTTTCCTCCAAGGCCAGAGACCACCACTTTGACTGTGGTAATTATATTGAATGGTCGAGAGAAATGCTCTTAGTATTGGAGTTTAGATCAGCTATAAATGCACTTTAACATTAACTAAACTTAAAAAAAGAAAAAAAGGGCCCAGATATGACAAAAAATGTTACTTAAAAAAAAAAAAAAAAAAATCAGTCACATTATGTCTACGTTTAAGTCACATCAGATACTCCGCTTATGAAACAAGATACATGAGTTCCCACTGACCTTTGGTACCTCTGAGGCATTTTAGAGGTAGCTTCGGCACATCTCCAGTCACAGCCAAACAGGCCCCCACACACACATATCACATTGGAAAAAACACATTTGGTCTCCAAGCTATGCAGTAAGGGAATAAGTAAATCAGCTTCTACTTCAAAATATCTTGGTTTTTTCCCCTCAAAATAATGTCTGCCTCAAATTATTATTAACTGGATAACACAATTTCTCCTAATTGTATGAAAGCTTTCATTTGTTACAGTCTTCCACCTGCAACTGTAGCCCTGCAGTTTGGTGTAGCTGACCCAAAGCCTCCAGATTCAACACTAAGAATTTAACACCTCCAATTTCCTCACAAATTGAGAAGAATTTCACACTTCAAATTAAATTTTTTACCACCTTCCCTCCAAAATTGCAATTCTGTGTCTAATGGAGGAACGCTTCTCCTACCAGACTGCACTAGCTTGTACTTTTAATGAGCCACAGGAAAAAGACTTCAACCAGAGTGCACGAACTTCACTTCTTGGGTTTTGCTCAAGGAACTGCGTCACCGAACAAAGCAAACGGAGGAACCATCTGTACATACTGCAAGCTCTTTATTAGTAATGTGTATGCTACGTCTAGTCCCAGGAGGTCATTGCAAGCCAAAAGCAATGTTAAGTGTACAAGCTTTAAATAACTTACAAAGTTAATGTAATGAATGTAAGTGTTATCTGAAATCCATCACTCAGTGGCTTGCTGTAGCCTCAAGCTGTGATAAAACACCACTCATAAATTTATATTAAAACTCTGTTCAATAGCAATTATTTACCAACAAAGATTTATTGATTGCATTTGCTGTTAGAGACTGGGGGCCTAACTGAGTCAATCAGCTTACGTTGTTGAGCTTCAGGGCACCAGAAGTTACAGACTGCCATCAGGTTCTGCATCCCGATCATTACTGTGAGAGCAGGAGCAGCTAATGAAAAGCCGACAGTGTAGGATTGATTGGATTTTAGGTTAAAAAACCCCAAAATCAAACCACCCAACACCGGTCAAGGGACCACGACACATAATATCCACAGTTCATCTGAATATGCAGTAATCGGCTAGCTACAAACCTTGCTTGCTTAAACAACAAATAAAGACAAATGGTGAAACAATTATGAATTTGTCTTATGGAAATATTTCAGGTTTTAAGCAGCAAATTACCAACATTTAGAAAAGTGAACCCTTGAAGTTGCTTAATACTGCACTGAAGATGCTGGTAGGTAAGTTGCCTCAGTTTTTCAGACAGGCCAGACATGGTAGCAGAATAGACTTACATACTTTCCAGAAATAAATGTCATCAAAATGCACATGCTGATCATCAGGGGATGTCTACAGCCACTGCCTGGCCTGCAGAATTAACACTGTGTGTGGACCAACAGACTTTGCAAGCCCTGTTGTACTTCATTTTAATTTTATCACTTTCCCAGGTATTTAGGGTTTTCCGGGGGCCACAAAATGCAGAGGGTTTCACAAACAGGATAATACCAGTGATCACAGGTTAGCTGACTGCACTTTTTTTTCAATTTGCTCCAGCTGTAGCACTTGAGGGCTTTTATTTTTGGGGGGTGGGGGGTGGGTGGGTGTTTGTTTTAATAGGATTTAGTACATTCGACTTTTCTTGGCATGCCAAATAAAAATGGAAGAGCCTTTGAAGTCAGCAGGGCCAAGACTGGACCTTCTGGAAAAAGAAATATGGTACTTGTGTTTCTACTTTCTTTCAGAAGCTTACACCACTGCCATAGCTGAGGTACAAGTATCATGCAAGCTTTTTTTTTTCCCCCTCCCTAATTTTTAGCCAACCCCATACTGTTATCCTGATGTTGTTTTGACAGAATGAAATATGTAATCTTGTACTTAATCATTAACAGCATAAATTCTTAATTTTCCACTCAGGTCTTTAGTTCTCATAACTATGATTAGCTGCTAGCAGTGCTATGAATTTTCTACAGCTCAATCATTTGCATCCTGTTCACAAAAGAAAACTCACGCTTTTCAGAAAGATCTTCCCTCAAATAACTGAAAAGGTAATTATTCACAGTCAGGATCACAAACTGTTACATATTAATTCTAGTCAGTAAAACATCTGCTTCCTTTAAATCTATTAACATGGTGAAAAAATGC